GTTCAGTCGAATTTCGCAATATCAAAGAAGTTGGCCCACGAGGCAAAAATTAAAATTACTCCTCCACGTCGTTTTTTCGCTCCCAACGAGTTTCACTCCCAACTAAGTCTCATTAAGTCTACAAGTACTACCAATTACATCCTCATCCCAATGACCACACCTCTCTTCGACCTTCTCTGGCCTCAGCTGGTCGCTAGATACACGCCCACGCCGATATTTACACCCGACAGAGGAAGCAAAGCGTGGCGCACAAATCTGAGAGACAGTTCTTTGGGATGGACGTGAGAGGGATCAGGACAAGTTTACAAGATGATGCAAAGGAAGAACATAATCTCGAAGGGCGTGATATTCCGAATTTTGGCAAGTAGTTTTACAAATTGAGCCTTGTGCGCGCCGATACTTCGTTTACGAGAGTGCAGTTAACACTGTAAACACAAGTTAACGATAGAAGGTGCCGTGATCCGCCTCCCGGTAATGATCTCGGTATAGTTTGAGTAGCCTAGGCACCTACTTCACTTGGGAAGGAGATACTTCAGATCACATTTCGCACGAAGGAAAGTTAATGGATGACGGAGGTATGTCTGGATAACCCAGGGTGTTTGAGACGTTCTTCTGGGTGGGTATTCACGGATGAGGGCTGACTTGGGGTGAAGAAAAAGCCGCCATAACTTCGTAGTAGTACTTGCAAATGAAATCCGAGGCATGAGTGCTCCAGTTATAATTGAGTCATCTATTGTGTACTTTTTCTCTGATATTGTGTCATAGCTAGATAGCTGTATACGCGATTGAAATCTGATGCAAAAAAAAGTATCACCACAAAATCTAACTTTGGCGGTGTTTGCAGTGTCGCATTCAGCCTGTAGCATGATTAAGGAACCATTTATTCCGTAGAACTTGTCGCGGAATTTCTCGTGAACACGCGGTCTAACGATGAATGATAATGAATGATATTCACATAATTCAACGAAACTCATCAGCGCCTTTTCGTTGAACTTTAGATTTGACACTCTTGATGCGTCAGATATTATTTTCCTCGTTTCTGAATGGGGACACGTGAAGTTGTTGCGACCGGTCAATCAACTAATTAGCCACCGCTGTAGTTTTCATCGCCTAGGTTTTCAAAAATTCCTATCGGCCTTTTATGAGACATGTAAGAACTCTCATCAATTTATGATGAAACTGCGAACGATTAATTATTACTTACGATTAATTTAGCCTATTTCGTCTTGATAATTTCATCATTTACTTATCCTCTCCTTATATTTCTTTGCGACAGTGACGATGGAGCCGGCTGATAAGTGTGGAGATTCGGGGTAGAGAAATTCTAGCTAAAGGGCCTGGAAGACTACGATATCAACCGATTCAATCCTCCGCAAAGAAGTAATACAAATTGGTTAGTCTTTCCTCGTTCATAGGCTGATTAACGATTCAAATGTCAGCCTCACGTGACCCATCCATTACTTTCGCAGTGGCACAGACAGCGCGGCCCGGCCCACGCTTTACCTGGGCCCAGTAGTTTCTGAAATACCAAAGGATGAAATAGGTACAAGCTTCATTCAGCTATATTCAATTTCCTTGGTAGAGTGTCACTTACTGTTCTGGGCGCCAACAAGGTGGTTGTAATACAGGCCCATCGTGATATTCTAGTCATCCGAATTAAGCAGAATTCACTGCTCTGAGGTTCAATTTTCGTGATAACTCGAATCAAAACTGGTCCTGACTGTTGCCTCGCATACTTTGCGTGGCAAAAATTCAACATCACTTGTGGGATCCAAGACGTCCGCGTTACAACTTCCGCTTATTCCCCTATTATTCAAGCTCCTACAAGAGTTATCTTATCGGAACATCTATAAAAACCTGGAAGCTTAGCTCATTCTATCGGTATCGAGCATTGCAGCTATCTAGCTCGATAACCCATGTGAGGAATATTGGTATGAGAGGACAAGTCTAGCTCAGATAGTCGACGCTTCCAGTACGGATAAATAATTTACCATACGACGAATACACATTAAATGATTAAAAATTTTTTACCACAGGAAACCTAATCAGAAATGCATATTCGTGCCTGAAGGTAGAATAGTGCACAAAGTGGGATAAGAAGCTCTATTGAAATTATGAGAATAAATACACACGATGCAAATTTCGTACCAAAAAGACGATGCAACAAATCATGATGTTTATTCCGCTCCTTATGGATCTCAAACGAAAACCAGAGCGAATATTTTCCTCGGCTTACTTTCCCTAAAATACGCTGGCCTCCTTATAAAGCTCTGTTTTAGGTTTCTATTCTCTAACTACAAATTATTTTTTTCATGGGTAAAGAAACACGAGACTCTTGTTTCTACAAAGCTTGATTTGCGGATTTTTTTTGATCGATCTAGATGTTGTGTATTATAGTAACTTACTCAATTATTTCGTATTTTGGACAGAGTTTGTAGGTTTTTATCGTCAGGTCCATCAGTCTGAATATATTCTCTTTCATTGAATAGTATACCCGTCCGGGGAATTATGAGACTTCCTTTATTCTCATAGAGAACATATCAAAATATCAAGGCTCCTCAGAGTTTATGATCGAAAGGACTTGTAAGGAGCGTTACTATTTTGAGGGGAGTATTACATGAGGCATGTAAGAGAATATACAACTCGTATAGCTAATCTTGGCCTATAAGTAGACCGTTATAATCCGACGCATTCTCATCCTGGGAGTTTATGGCGAGCAACAGCTTTATATCACATGATGGTAACAGGATGTCAAAAGCCGCTGGCCAAAACCAAGTGATTTGGCCAAGATGTTGTTTGGAAACATCTTTTTGTGAATATAGAAATCAATCCCAGAAATGTATAATAACAATAATAAGGAACTTTTACTTCCAAGTCTCAGTTCTCTCGTACATGGTGACCTTTAAGCCTCTACCTCATCCCTTCCACCCAAAGACGAGTTTAAACAGTGAGAGCTTACATGTTATACATTGTTTGAGATGGAGAAAGGACAATTATTCTGGTTTATACCAAAAATTTAGACTAAGGATCATTCAACATATACCTATAAATGATAAATAAGGAGCAGTCATCACTAAATCCTTATAGATTAGATTAAAAATCTTACAATTAATTTTCCAGTGTTCTATTACTATAACTATGCTACCAAGCCATCCAGTACAGGGTCTACGAATAGCAGTACACAAGACATCAAAAGTTATTAGCTATTATGTTCTTGTTGAAGAATTTGGCCGTTTTTAGGAACCTTGCATCTTGATTCATAGCATCCATCTATTCTTGGTGATCTATAAGAATTCGATCCAGAGCCTAAAACTTTGGTGTAGCAGATGATCAAGGATAATTATTTGCTCCAAAATAGACGAAACTTGAATCTCAAATTCCCCGCCTCAATCGTAATCATTAGGTTTGGTTCAAGTCTATCCGACGTACAGGCCGAAACGAAGTGATGTGTCGCTGAAATATATTTAAGATGGGGCATTAAGAGTATCGGGTTTTGGTGGCACCTGTGGGGTTGACGAAAATTACATCTAGCGCGTGATCCGCCTGATTACCTTCCTACAATAGAACCACAATTCATCTGATGAGTTGATATGTTGATACTCATGTATTTCTTACTGAATGTATTCGAAATATTTACATGAAATTGGATGTCCCCGGAGACAAGTAACCGGATTGCCTTGAAAACACTCAGCTTCATGGTACAAGTCCATATCTCTCCGAGCACATGATAGTTTTGAGAAAGAATTTTGCAGATTACAGCCAGGCCAATCCTCTAAAACGTTAACAACATATCGATGTAGCTAGTCGTGCAAGCCTCGAATCCATGTCATAGACAAGAGAAAATCGTATCCACCGTTATTAAAAGGCTAATAATAAAGGTTGTGATGACTAAAAAGTCTCAAGCATAAATAGGTTTTGGCTTTCAGCCCAGTGCAAGAGTAACCTGGGCTTGTTCAAAATGGTTCAGGCTCCCTTGTCAATTAACGATCTGAGAGATATATTTTAGAAATTACTATTCATTCAATAATCTAATCTCAAGGTTACCCTTTCGGTCAGGAAACCATTCGCATATAATTCATTTCATATACTTTGTTGAATGTGTAGAAGCTACAACTGGTTAAACAAAGTTATTTGATCACCACATTTCTCCAATGAAATAATCATCTAGTAATATTCAGAGACGTGGCCTAGGATGAAGTATCTACCGCGATACGTTAAGATAAAGTATGTTCAATGAATCTGCTTCAAATTATTCTGTTCTGTAGAAATGTGGTCTAGAACACCGGGATTTGTCATCGTAGGATCACAGAGTAAGAAAGTACAACGTGTACTGGTATATATATGGGTAGGCATGTCCTGAGCTGTGTGTAAGCCTGTAAAATTAGAAGTGCAGTGGTACTAGCTACTGTCTTGGTGGTTTGAAGGATATCAGTAGATCCGTCCGATACATAAATGTGAAATCAATATTTGAATAAGACAAGCAAGAGAAGTTGTCTGGGACGTCCAAAAAGTAACGGAAGCGAAGATCTTATGAACAGTCACAACTTTCATAGGTTCCCTACAAAAATCCCAGCCTTCTGTCCGTTCAAAGTGTCTTTGTCGACCCACTGGCACTTGATATCCGGTTTCGCCTGAACCTCTTAGCTATCTACCCGGGAAGTAGGCCCAACTTTAACGTGCGCTCTCATCCCTGAACTTCTGCCGTCACCAACGTGACATCCTACTCCCGCCAACCTCTCTTCTGACCCGCCCCGTCGACATATTCGTGCGAAAATAATCTCGTACAGGCAGTACATACGTTTAACCATTACAGTAAATTTCACCCGCACATTTTTTCGACGTTTGCAATATTCTCCGGAACGTCAGGTTCTTCATCCAAAATTATCAATTCAACAGCCGCAAAAACTTTTAGAACAATCAGATTGCGTTTTCATAACACTGAAATAGATTTGGCGGTGGCACCTGTGTAGATAACGAGGTGGATCGCCTCGAATGGCACGATGGCATTCCTTTTCAAAAGTAAGAAGAATGGAGACAGGTCACAAATCCTGAGGGACGGCTCAAAAGCCAGCGCAGGGTTGCCGGCCACGAATCAAGGTGTCAATTTTCGTATCAACGAGAAAGGAATTGGCTATCCTCCTCCCGCCATCAATGGCTTGAACGAGACTGCTGCTCCATCTCCCGCTGCGCCAGCGGGAACACCCAGCCCAGAGCAAATTAATGGCCGTCGCACAATACCACTGGATCAATCGCAAGACCTTCCCGTAAGTTTAATGTTTGCGTGTACTTCAAAAGTGCCTTCAAACTTACTGAATAATCTAATAATTATAAATAGTTGCGCAGTGGGACGGCACCAGCTGTTCAGCCTATGGCTGCAAATCCAAATTCTTTGTATCCATGGTCTCAAGCACGATTGACTTACACTACTGCGCTTCAGGGGCCTTTCCCCCGTTACGGAGCTGCTGTAAACGCAACAGCCTCCAAAGAAGGCAATATTTACTTGATGGGCGGTCTCATTAACAGCTCTATGGTAAAGGGTGATTTATGGATGGTGGAAGCCGGTGGGAATATGGCATGCTATCCGCTATCTACAACAGCAGAGGGACCGAATCCTAGGGTTGGTCATGCTAGTTTACTTGTTGGGAATGCGTTCATCATATATGGAGGTGACACCAAAATGGAAGATTCAGATATCTTAGACGAAACCCTATACTTATTAAATACATGTAAGTTGATTAAAAATCAAATACAAAGAAATCTAGTAATTTTTTTTTTAGCTACGAGACAATGGTCAAGAGCTGTGCCAGCAGGACCCAGGCCTACTGGTAGATACGGGCATTCTTTAAATATTCTAGGGTCCAAGATTTACGTTTTTGGAGGTCAAGTAGAAGGATACTTTATGAATGATCTAGTCGCGTTCGACCTAAACCAACTTCAAGTTCCCACTAACAGGTGGGAAATGCTCATTCGAAATAGCGATGAGGGGGGACCACCACCAGGCCAAATTCCACCTGCAAGAACCAATCACTCGATTGTGACATACAACGAAAAGCTTTTTCTGTAAGTTAAATACAATTACCGATTGTATGTGCTAAAGAGTTCAGATTTGGAGGAACTAATGGTTTTCAATGGTTCAACGATGTTTGGTCATATGAGCCCACTTCAAATTCTTGGGCCTCTCTCGACTGTATTGGATACATACCATCTCCACGTGAGGGTCATGCAGCAGCAATTGTCGACGACGTTATGTATATTTTTGGGGGCAGAACAGAGGACGGCTCAGATCTCGGGGATTTGGCTGCGTTTAGAATACCTTCAAGACGCTGGTACACATTTCAAAACATGGGTCCATCACCTTCGCCAAGGTCCGGCCATAGCATGACTGCTCATGGAAAGCAAATAATAGTCCTAGCTGGGGAACCTAGCTCTGCAACCAGAGAAGTTGGTGATCTGTCGATAGTTTACATCCTAGACACCACCAAAATCAGGTATCCTAACGATCATCCAACTCAATTGGGTTCCGACCGCATTCCTGGAGGACGACGCCCTAGTACATCTGATAAAGCCCTTCCGTCTACCACCCGTGGGACATCTATACGGGATGCTATGACGTCACCCGAGGCCAAAAAATCAAACGAGATCGTAGCTCGTGGAAATAGCCAAAATAACTCTAACTGGGGTGAGATGAATGGAATCGCTACTTCAACACACACGCAACCCTCTCTACAAGGACAGCTGGTTAATTCAAAATTGCCAAGAGCAACTCCGTCGCAAACATCTTCAGGCCCACCTCCGCAACAGCAGGCTCCAACTCCAAGATCCAACAGTGCGACATCTAACGCAGTTGGTCGAAATAGATCACAAGCAAGGCATGAGACTGGTAGAAGCTCTTCCGTAGATGTTACCGCACGAAACGGTGATATTCCCTCCGGTGTATCACCGACACATAGTATTACTACGTCTCTATTATCAAAAGACGGTTCAAAAGAGGCCTTGGCTGAAAACAGGAAAGTACTAGCCGGGCAATCTCCACCAGCAAGCAAACCAAGCTCTACTGAAAATGGCCCCCCAGTTAGCATGAATACAATAGGCTCTGGATCACTCCGTCCATCATCAAGAAATCGTTCTAATCGTCAGCAGAGTTCTGTGGACAGTACCAATGATCACTCCTCCTTACGGAATGTGATAAACTCCCGGCAGACCTCACCACCCCCCTCAAACCGAAATTTAATTAACCCACTAGTTAGAAAAGGCTCTGCACGAAACTCGCAAGCTGTCTCTCTTCTCAAAGAACTTGATGTCGCCAAAAATCGCAACGCTTGGTATGCATCAGAGTTAGAACTTGCAAGAAAAGCGGGCTATACACCAACCACGCCAAATTGTTTAGATCACAAGTCTTTGGAAACTTTTGATGATGATGACAAGCCCCTTATTGAGGCACTAATTTCAATGAAGACAGAACTTGCCAATGTTCAGGGGTCTATTGACAGACAAGCTATACTAGCTGCGAAGCAAATTTCTGAAGTAGAAAAGCAACGAGATTCTGCTGTGCGTGAAGCCATATATGCGAAGGCAAAACTTGCTGCACACTGCGGTAATCAAGATAGTATCTTGACTCCTGACAGCGAGTCGTATGATGTGGGAACTCTGGCGAATGATAGGGCTGTAGATATTAGTAGGAAGCTTGCTACAGCACTCTCTGATCAAAATAAGTTACAGAGCACAATTGAGGCACTAAATACTGAGTTAGAGGCGGAAAAGCGAAGCAAAAAAGTGGCTGAAGAAATAGCCAAGACCTCTCAAGCTCGGATCTCAGAGCTTGAAAGCTACAAGCAGCAGAACTCAAGCGAAGTAGAACGTTTGAAAGCTGAATTACATGAATCCCAGGTCATGTTCAGGAAGGAATCAATCGCTTGCGCCGAAGCAGTCGCATCTGCTCAATTACTTCAAGCCGATAAGGATGAACTTGATGTTAAATTTCTTAACGCCCTAGGCTCATCTAAAGATACAGAGAACACCTTTGCCTCTCTCCAAGAGGCCATGGGATCACTTGTTGAGACGCGTAGTCTGCTACAAAGGCAGCTAGACGACGAGCGTTTGGAAAGAGAGAAGTCCGAAGCTAAACTGTCGCAAATAAGATTTGAACATGAGAGTTGTACAACTCGACTAGAAGCAATAACGCGGAAGCTACAATGCGCAGAAGAACTAATCCAAACACAAGAAAATGAGGCCAAATCCCAATGGCAAGCTATTCAGGCAGGACTGGCTCGCGTAGTATCTGTTGAAGTCGATACTCCAAAACAAGCAAACGATCAGCGACTCGTTGCACTCCAAACCCAAGTTCAAACGGCAAATGACCTGGTCCGAAAATATCAAGCGGCAGCTGACACTGCCTCAGAAAAACTACGGAGTGCAGAAGAACGTATTGCTGGCTTGGAGGCCTATCAAGAACAAGCAAGTCGTGAGGGTATGTCTATACGAAAACAACTTCAAGCCTCCATGAGAGAAATACAGTCTCTTCAAGCTTCAAATACAGAAATGAAGTATCAGCTTGAAAATCAACAATTAGAATCTAACGCAGTACATGTACAGCACAATACTTTGAAATACATATTAGAGGAACGTAGTGTGACTCCAACAAAGAACTCTAGAACTCGTGGTCTCTCAAGCCCACCTTCAATGTCTGATACCACCGATGTATCCCAGATAAAGACTCTTGAACAACAACTACTATCAAGCCTTGAGGCTCAAGAAGAAACAAAGCAGATGTATGAAGCTCGTGAACAAGAATCAGAACGTCTGTACAGAGAAAAACTTACTCAGCTCGAAAGTGATTACCAATCTGCCGTAAATTATGTGAAGGGAACTGAAAAAATGCTTAAACGTCTCAATGATGAGCTTACACGTTATAAATCAGATAATATTCGATTAAATGAGCGGATATCAGGGGTCGAAGAAGGAACGGCTGGCGGAAATAAAGCAGTTATGTGGGAAAATGAGCGCTCCGAGCTTTACAAGCAAATTAAATTGCTGCAAGGAGAGTTGAAAATTCCTTCTAAGCAATTTGAACAGGAATTGGCAGATGTTCGAAATAAGCTCTTATCGGCTGAACAGGAACGCGATACATTAAAGCGTGATCAAGAAGATCTACAGAATCGAGTCAAGGCTGACCTAGCAAAAGTACAGGAACAGAAGGCTCTTTTGTTGAAGCGTGCAGAAGAAGCAGAACGCAAAGTGTCCGTTCTATTGGATCAAGTTGAGCAATCAGTAGATATCTATCGTCGAAATTCACGATCTATAGACCATCGTAGTGCTACGCCTACTGCTGCCTCTACAGCTCTGTACCAACGCAGCCCCCTGGTAACCGATTCTACATCAGAGGCATCATATGAAAGTGGAAATCGTAGCTCGATGGCACTTGATAGCCTTGCCAATGAATTGGAAACATTACGTTCACACTGGCAGAACACCAATAAAAATTATCGGCTCAGCAATGCATTTGATTTCGATGAACGAACTGTATCAACGAAAGGGCCAGATGAAATGTTGACAGCACCAAACGTTGGGGAAGGGCTAACCAGCAGCCTTGCTAGCTGGAGAAAACGGTTAGACTCTGATCAGGCAGTGGTACCTAGCCAAATAAACGGACCAACTGAAAATATCGTCAACTCGACTTCCGCAAAGAGCGAAGCCCAGCCCAGTGAACTGAGCGCGAATAACTTAGAGAATGGCGAACTAAATGCTATCTGAGATAATCCTAGTTCTCTCGTCAGTTATCTACCCTGCGGAGTTTCCTTGCGAGGCGTTATGGATTAATTTTGGAATCTTTCATTTTTATTCGTATTCCGTTTGAACAGGATACCTTTTTGCAGCTAACGCTAACACCAAAAAAATTCACGCCTCCAACCTCATTTTTATTCTAAACTATATTTTTCTACGGCCATTTCGAAACGGAGCAAGTCATTGTATTGATCTACAGTCCCATGCATTACATATAATATTTTTGTGCAGATCATTGACTGAGATGCTTAGTTGGATGAGAATAAAGTACAATTGTGGCTTCACAGGTACAAACATAAGATGAAGCGTCTGTAAAACGAAATCTGTATTGTAATATTTTTCTAACCTTGAATACGTTTTTGATTCTCTATTGAGCTCTTGAGCAAACTCTTGAAATTGGAAACTCTGGCAAAAGCCTCTGGATTTAATCTGTATAACTCACAGGGAGCGATGACTGAGATATATGTCGTTGGTAGATAGCTAAAGCTCTTTCGAGTCGGGTTTTGGGGTTGGGAACTAAAGATGTAGTCTTTTATAGGATAGATATTTGATCTTGAACGAATGTCGGCAAAGTTTATGCGCTCATCACATTGCCCATCCCATAACTTGAATGTCAGTATCATTTTTCTCACGTGTCACTCGAGGCATGGCGGAGTGCTACATCTTACAGGAAAATATGATAGAAAGAACACATAGCGACACAGCATGCCAAATGACAAGAAGTCGTTATTCTTGCATTAGCATCAGATGCAAGAATCTTGTGTGAAATTTTTTATTATGTAGATATTTATTCTTACGCCAGCCCAAACCTTCGGGGCTTCTAAAGACGCCAAGTGGCGAGTGAAATCATCTCATCAAGTCATGATGCCATCCAGCCAAGCCATGGATGTGGGCCCTATCCCAAAGTAGCCCATCGAGCCTGCCTTTCCCTAACCCCCGCTAAAAATCAATCATGTCACGAGTGAATAGAAGACATGTCAAAACCCTGAACTCCCCATCGCATCAACCCAATTCAAGCAACACCGTTGTTGGTATAGACCTCGGCAGGCCAACCCTGATAGGTAAGGCCTTCATCCGCCCGGTCGCCCGCCATAATTAAGGTGTGCTCTAGTAGCCGGCTATTGCGTCCCATACTCGCCCCGCTGAGTAGGCGACTTCCGCTGCGCAGCACCGCGCCATCGGCAATCTCTAGGGTACGCAGGTCGAATGTACCGCGCGAGTTAATATGAGCAACCAAACTAGCGTCATCGATAGCTACACGGTTACCAATTACGAGGAGATCCGGCTCTGTAATGAAGGCCGAGGGACAGCCTCCAGCGAAGAGGGCCGTATTGTTGCCTATACGAGCACCAAGTAATCGGTAATACAGAACAATATAATAGGTTCCAGTGAATAGATTCAGCACGCCGTTGCCGCCAAGGCAACGTGAACGAAAACCTTCAATGGTAAGGAATAATTGCCAGCGTTGGCAGTAGCTACTCTTATCCCAATCGTAGTTGCCAGGCTGACGACGACCAATCACTATCCATTTAGCAGCAACTACAATTACTATAGCTGATATGGTGACGAATACCATAAAGGTTGACATAAGACAAACGTTAAGGCCATAAATTATCAAGGATCGTGACGGACGTCGCCATAGAAGGCCAGTGCTTTTCGCTAGAAAATAGAGAACCAGATTCACAGTAGTGCTTATATTCCAGAGAGCTCTCGTTAAAAATATGCTCAGTGACGAGTATAAGAAAATAGTAGGGAGGGTTAAGACGTGATAGGGGGCTTGATGTGCATAAAACGCGCGGCCGAACGGAGAGATTGTTTTTCCGTCAAGTTCTTTCGGGTACTCGTACCCTAGACTCGGGTCGTACGATTCAGCGTGCAATCCTTTTTTTCTAGTCTCGTTTGAACTTATTTCCTCGTGAGGCTGCTCTGTCGTTTCGCTCCCCACCATATCGCTCGTATTCGTTTCTTTTCTGTAAGGCTGATCCTCTTCGTCTGGGAATACAAAAGCTTCTTTGAACTCAAGACTTTGGGTTGTCCCGGCTATCTTTTCTTGAGAAAGGCAAATAGCATTTCCGTTTTTTTTTCCTATCCAGACCGTCTCTGGTGCACAAAATTGTCTCCGTCGTGTCGTTGTTCCACTCCCCAAGACCGCCCGGTATCCTATTACGGTACCGGGATTGATCACGACTCGATCTGCTATCATAGAGCCCGCACCAATTTTAACAGAAGCTAAACTGATTCCATCACGAGTTAAAAGATAGGATCGAGACCCGAAAACTACATCGTCTCCAATCTCTAGTAAATCATAGTCTTGAACTGAAGGTCCTCTTCCGGGCCAGTAAACTCGTTTCCCAACTTTTGCACCAAGCGCGCGAGCTGATACAGATGTCAATTCGTAATGGTTCCCAAATAGCTTGACAACACTTTGCAAAGCCTGACTAGGATTTAATGCATCCAACATTCCTATTCGAAAGATCTGCAAGCTTGAAAGATTACTGATCTTACTATCAGTCGTTTTTCCGCAAATTTTGTCGAGTATAAGTTTGACGCAGACAACACTCAAAAAGCGGACTATTGGATTCAAAATTTGGTGAAAAAGAACCGCTAAATAGTGGAAGGCAATTCGTCGCGGGGAAGCAAGCCACTTGATTATAGTTAAAACGCCATTGTGTGAATTACCCGAAGGCTTGCTATCAACCATCCCAATTATAGCCATAATCCAAGGAATGGCAGAGATAGAAAGTACCATTATCTGTACAGGGTATATGGCAAGAATTTTTAATAGTATATGGGGCTCCGGTACCTTGCCGTTGGTGTCGCCACGATTGTCATCTTCAGCATCGTTTATTTCGTACGAAGATGAGTTAGGTCCTATGAAAGTATCAGCTGGCAAAGTTGAGCCAGCAGCAACGTATGATTTCAATCCAACGCTGCTATTTCTACCTAGTTTGATTTTACCGAGAAACATTGTTGTATTTTTCTCGCAGGCAAAGGGCCTGCATGTACAGCGGTCCAAGTAAACGTCATCATCTATATCTAATAGATCATACTCTCCAATATTAGTTCCTCTCTCAATAGTAACACCTTGTCCTATACGAGCTCCAAGTGCTCGATAATAAAACAGCCGAGACACATGAGAGTACCGGAATACACCCTTTGAAATTTGTCAGTTTTGCAAAATTATACGATTGTCAAACGTACCTTCCCATAAATCATCAAGATTTTATCAACAATCCACCATCTTGTGTGATATGTACCCCACATAGGATAGCTTCCAGCCTTGTAACGTCCAATGATAACCCATTTCAGTATAATTCCAAACACCGGTGAAGCTATTTGAGTCGAGAGGCGCGAAAGACTTAAAGCGACGAGCAGAGTCAAAAGTTGAGCTAATAAGTTTGATTCTCGCCAATAATCCGAGATGATGCTTAAAGAGTAAATGAACATAGTAAACCAGAATGCCATCTTAATTGGATAGAAAAAAATAATGGGTAGAAGCTGAATTATAAGCACCATGGGATTTGTAGAGCTACACATTTTGATCGGCTCATGATCGACTTCTGAGGTCGGGATTTCGTCTGACTTAGTAGCTGATGTCAAAACGATCTCATTAGCTAAGGTACTTAAATCCTGGACAGTGCTCATCACAAAGAGTTGATGAATCGGAATCCGAATGTTAAAGTCACGACGCAAAGTGGATAATAATCGCCCTGCACTCAAGCTATCACCACCAATTTGAAAAAAATCCGAACCAGGACCTATAACATGATTGGGTATGCCGAGTACTTCGGCCATCGCGGCAATAATTTTCACTTGTGTAGCAGAAGCTCCGTTGGTATTTGCTGTCTTGGTTTTGCATCGATTGATTATGCCGCTAAGCTCAACTTCATCGACAGTAGTTGAATTTATCCAAGGAATTGGAAAATCAATAATCAAAATGTCCGCAGGAATCTGGTAGCCATCGACATTCAAATAAAGCTGCTCATTAACCGTCATTTTCAAATCGGAAGATAGCTTTTGGTCATCTTTGGGTGCAATAATGACCTCAGACAGGCCACTTTCTGGTTGTATTCCGACATGTAAGTCAAATTCTGAGCTGAAAATTTGATTAATTGACTCTTTTATGAGCTGAGCATCGATTTTGCATGGGATGGTTACTATGCGTGATTCTAAGGAGCTATTAGCTGGAGGGCAGATGGCGGAAAAATGCCTTTGTGGCAATTTGGAGTTGTCTCTGAGTGATTCCAAGTTCATCCGTTCTCCAAGCCTAATGCGAATTACTTTGTTGTTATACATGGGGAGGGCTTCCATATAAACTATTACAAAAGGTATCTTAGAAGCATGTATTACATCATTCAATGCAGAGTGAAGCATCCGAATATCTGGTCGAGGTCTCCTAGAGTCAGGGACAATAACGACTCCAACTACCTCCTGAAGTACTTCGTGTGGTGCAGAGAATGCCAGTACTTCCTTCACGCGATTATATATGGCTGAGCTGGTTGACTGAGATGCAGTTATAATGGCCTCCTCAACTTCGAAAGGTGAAATAATCTCTCCTCCACGATTAATAACCTCTTTTCCCCGGCCGGTCAGATACAAGTAACTATCACCATCGAGATATCCGAGATCACCAGTGTCAAACCATCCATTTCGAGTAAGTGTATTTTGAGATATCTGGCCTGCTTCTAGGTAGCCTGCAAAGGTTCCTCCTCCCCGGACACAGATGCGGCCAATCTCACCAGATGATAGTGCTTTATTTTCATCGTCCATAATTGCAATTTCAGGCCCACAGGATATACCTGAAGTCCCTGGTCGTCCCAAAACGTAATCTAATGGTGGTGTTGAAATCGGCATACATTCTGTCATCCCATAGCTAGGCAGTATAGTGCAACCAAAAGTTTTCTGGAGCTTTAGGGCTAGAGCCGGGAGAAGAGCCCCGGCCGCATTACATACGAGCCTTATTTTAGAATTGGAATGAACATAATCTCTGAACTCCTCTTCAGCTAGTATACTGGTGTGCATTGACGGTGATGCATAGTACCATGTTCCTTGGTTGCTCTGTACTAGATCCCAGAAAAGATTTGGGTCAAACGAAGGACAGAGAATTGTTGAGCCTCCAGAGAAAATCGGAGCGAACAGGTTTCTGACGATTCCACCCCTATACCAATTAGATTCATTGTACACCAAGGTAATAAATTCTTACACATGATTGAGAGGCATCATATTGATACAGCTATCGTCTGGTGATAGACCCCAAGACCGAATGACGCATGAAACTCCGATTAATAGGGACAAAGTTGATACAGGTACTAGTTTTTTAGTCCCACTAGTTCCGCTAGTTAAAAGTAGAAACGCGGTATCGGTCGATTTGTTTGGACAGCATTCATCAACAGGTCTATGAGTTATATCTGAAGGCGGCGGAATAGTGAATGTCATTAAAGTATTGGTTTCCACAGTAAGAACTACTAAACCAGTCTTCAGTACCCAATCTTGGTCTAGACCAAGCTTTTGAATATCATGTTCAAGAACTAAGACTACTTCTGGTTGAATTAACTCTAAGTCACTTCGAAATTGTCGCATGCCTCCTGTGATGTTGATTGGCGCTGCAGTGTGATAAGAAGATACGGCAAGACAGGCTAATCCAAGAAGAAATCCATTCGGGAGTGCCAAAGCTACCCTAAGCTTACTGGGAGATAGCTTGCTCGAGCGATATGGAATCCTGAAAGCGCGAACGAAAGTCGACAACTCCTTGTGAGAAATGCTTTGCTCCGTTGTGGGATTGATGAGGGCTGGAGAATCGGAAGCTTTGAACAGTAGCAATGGACTCTTGATATATCCAAAAAAAACCTCCTGGAGTCTACTCACGAAACTAGCCGCGATGGTGTCTGAAGATGACTTCACTGCTTCTGGCAAAGTCTGCCATAGCTTCGTATATGCACTGAGAACCTCAATTTTTGGCCAAGCTTCATCACAACTTCTTAGGGCAGCGCAGAAACATAGCGCAGGGAGACAACTTGGGTAGCTGGGCGAAGGAATTTGACTGAGAACATCTGAGAAATTAGCATTATTTTGAAGGCAAGCTTTCCATGAATGAAATAGATTTATCTCGTCGGCTGGTAGGAAATTTTTCAGAGCTACTTCGTCCCACGTATCCCGGTCAGTCTCATAGGCGTCCATCGGGGGCGATTTCAGGTGAAGATTGTCAACAAAGCGCTGCTGGGTGGAATGCCATCTATGTAAGGTATTCGAATGAGATTGTGTATTGCAGTACGGTGAGGGAGGACATTATACGCATGTAGCTATATCAGCTGAGTATTTCAACCGTTTGCTCATGAAATGTAGCAACGAGTCGTTTGAATAAAATCTTTATTTCTTCTACTACCCGGGAGGTCCAAGCCCCGGAAATAGAGACAACCTGCGCCCAGATACTAGCCAAGGCTACAGCAACCCCTGGAGGTATTTCTTTCCCGGTCGAAGGAAAGGTGAGACAGCCTTCCTGATCTGCAGACTGCACCGGAGAGGAAAGTTGAGGATAGATGTATAGGCGGCTAGGTCCGAAGTACTAACTCCGACTGATGCAACATTGCTCAACTGTACAGGCGCGTAATCATTCGCCGCCTGAAGTGTTCAAAGGAAGGCAAATGGCACGAGGGCTACCACGTTCCGAACGATCCCTGAGAATTGAAAGCTGGTTCAATCAAGGTTTAGGCCCCGGTTGGGTGGCCATGATCTCCCATTGTGTTATTGCAGAATGTACATACGCTCTGACGATTCGGCAAAGCCCCCCTAGTAGCTGATTGCCAATTAACCCTGCAGTAGATCATTGTGAATTGCTGTCTTTATTATTGGAGGCCGCAACAGATTAATGATTGTGGGGAAGGCTAAATTGGCTATATCAGTTCGATGAGCTGTTTACTTGGCCGACCTGTCAGGTTTGGCAGACTGTGCTCCCCAAGCACTGTAGACCGCTCGTTTCGATTCCGCAATAAGGTTACCATGGCTGGCTACTGCTGCTCGGAATTCATAGCCAGCCTGCCTGCTGGATAAATTTGCCGGACTCGTCCTCAACTTTAATTAGCGGTAGAGCACAAGTTCGATGTCTCCGCGAATCTATTAGTTACATTCAGGCAACTTGGGTAACCGCTACGAAAAGAGTTTATCGAGCCCTTATCCCTGTCCCGATACTGTCTACTAGAGGAATACGCGAAATTTGATAGACCAACGCCCAACAGAAAGACATTGGCGTGAAGAAGTAACAATTTAGTCTTTACCATCGGGTTCCTGCAAATTATGCAAGCCCCGTTGATCAAGTACAAGGTGACCAATGGTTGATTGCCTGGGCGGACCTAGACAAACAAATTTTACACACTGGCCGAACCGACCACACCAGTTGGCCAATTGATGCTACGACCCTGTCCATCAAAAGAGGTGAATATCTTTGAAGTGTAAGAGCTAAGGGTTACTGTATATCGACAGCGTGGGGAAGATTTGGGCTTTCCCGTTTAACCTTCAAATTTACCCCTATTCCCGTGCCTAACAAGGGATGGTAGCCAAGCAAAGGAAGAGATTAAATGGTAAGAGGGTATGCTTTCGCGTGGCGTTAAACACCCGCTTGACAGAAGATTTCGTCAAACATCGTGAATTGCTGATATGTCGAGGTCCTACCTGCCGCAGAATGAACTATATCAGCCTTCCATGCGAGCCAGAGGCTGGAGTACCTTCGAGCTAGCCGGCAACGTGTCTCGGCGAAGATATCGTGAAATAGCAGATACACGTAGGAAGTAACGACACAGCCGGCTCATTGATCGACTTTACTAAATACACCTATTCCTGCGCCTAGCGCATTATCTGTGGGGCCAATACACATTGCAGGGATATTAGCTTAGGGAGCATCCGCACCGATCGCACGGCCACAACGACAAACGAGTATCAAGGACTACATTATGGCAAGATGGGCATCGTTCACATTCGTTGGGTATGATAAATTTTCAAATATTCCGATAAAATCAAATCCTCATTAGCTTTCGGAAACCGGATATTTTCAGTCAAGCTTTTCCACGAGACGTGAAATTAAGCTTAACTATCTGATTTACCTACTGAGCGAACTTTATTCAGTCAATTTCTCGCTATTATTCACTGAAGGGTAGAACCTATTAAAATGTGTATGACAGCTTCTTGAAGAGGCGTGTTTGATGTGCATACTGAAAATGAATAATTAATTGAATGGGCAAATTCACGACTCAATTTTTGATTTCCTAGTCGGACATTCGTGATGTGTTGAGTGTGGAACACTCTATGGCTACCCAGCTCCTCCTAATTAACTCGAGTATCGTGGAGGCAATACTGGGGAAAGACCAATTAAACTAACTTCCGATGACGAGTTCGAGACTCCAATTCACTGTATCGGGCTGAAAAGCTGTTAAAAATTATTTGTTAACGATCCACTGTCGGCATTAGAGCAAGAGACGGCACACATGAGCAAGATTAATATACTCTGTCTGGGCTCGACGAGCTGTATCTGAAATTAGACTCTTCGTACTACTGTAGCTATCACTTTATTCCGGCTGGATTAGGTCTCTTGATTAAGTTTGAATCAGATCTGGCCTTGCAAAATTCGGCATATAAATTACTCATTGGCTGTAACGGCCAGTTGACTTTTGAGCGTGTATGAGGCCAACAGACGTGAAGATACCACTAATATCATTTGTTTATCGGTTAAGCCCCTCTAATTAACGCGAAAATTCTGTATACATGACCGTATCTAACGCCGCAGCGATTCGTGGGTGGCCCTATCTTCGGTCATGAGTCGAATTCCCACACAACAGAAGATATTCTCGAAAATAGCCGTATTCCTCTGACAAGCAAGCTGAACTGGATCGAGTATTACCTGTATGTTTGTTCTCGCTAGTATAGTCTTAACTTCTGCTTCGTCTTTCCTCGATTCTTACTTCAATAGATAAAATAGCTCCACCACTGGCTTCAGCTCGGAATCATGCAATGTTGGTACTGGTGGAAAGACTGGCAAAGTGCCCAAAACACTGTTGAAATGTTAGTCGCATCACTCGAATTAGACCTCGCTCACCCAGTAGGTTTAATCTAGCCGCCAGGCGTGTTCTGAAGGCCCCGAGAAGAAGATTAGTAGAACGAAGCCGGTCCTGAGGGTGCAAGACTATGATTGACGTTAATCCTTGCACGGGGAGGGCCGTTCATGGTGGGTAGGGGCTTACACTTTGCATTAACGCTGTGCCAGCGCACAGCCGCCCTCTGGGATACAAGCTGGCCATGAAATCTGAAATGATCCTAGGTCACGTGTTAAGGGACGGGAAAGCTCTGAGAATACTAGATGACAGATTCTAGAATTTTAGGGTCTAAAGGGGGGAGGCTGGGAGAATCTTGATGGCCTCCTACCTTCCTGTAAGCTTTATTACTAAAAAGAAACAGCCTTTGCATCGCAATATTTTCGAGTTTTTGTCGAGTGTGCGCGAATGGGATCCTGTATTTCCCACTTGGCTAGGGCTATTCGCAACTAGGAAAAAGGCGAAAAAGAAAATTGCCCTGCCCTGACGACTTTGCCTTCTTTACGCGACCGACCGTCTCGCACGCAGGTATTGCTTTCTCCCATGTCACTTCCGAGTTGTCGTGTTGTACGCGCCCATCACCCCCCCTGGCCTGGCACTGATTCTCTGGTGCCTTGATGCGTGCGCTTGTGCTATACCGGATTCATGCGGACAGTTGGACTAGACTTTCTGAACATAACTTTTACCGCGAGCCTAAATTGAGCAACTAATGGGAGGACCCTTGGAAGTCGCTCAGATATGTTGTTCACGGACTCTCTGGTCCAGACTCAATCGCTCACGGAATGCGCTCTTTCAACCGCAAGGCGTTCTGCTGTAAATTGTCGGCGATTTGTAAAGTTAAGCTTGTTACATTTTCACAAGATGTCCACTCTCAAGTAATGGACAATTTTTGTCGAACCTTCGCATCTACAATTCCACAACATAGGTGATTTTTAGTGTGTCAGATCAATTCGCATCTGCTAAAACATCATCAAACAAATTTGAAAGATCAACCTTGATTCAGACCAACGGCTTAGTGCCCAATTGATGAATCGTCGCTAACATAGGATCACATTGCGGTATTGCCAGTCTCAAGCACAATCCTCACAGCTTTTGGAAGAAGTACTGTAATCACCATGGTAGCATGTAGTGCACATTTAGAAGTTGATACGCCAAGCCCACGTAACCTGATGAATCCATCTTCTAGTTAGTGGCGAGTGATTGTGTGATATCCGACTATACTCTTTTTCTGGCTTGAGGAGGCTGCTTGCCGTAGATGTTAGATAAAACGGCCATGACCAAAAATTAATGTGGCAAATTGCGTCACCCAATTTGTGAATATGTGCTGAATGGATTGCTACAATGAATATGCTCAGTGTTTTTTAAATAGATTGTGATAGCTCTCTTAGCTATGATAACTAGTTCAAAATTCCTGCTGAATGTCAGGGAATTTGGTTGGCTGATATCAGGTGGGTTTATCATAGCGACGGAACCTAAGCATTTGAGAGCAATCACAATATATTTTTAACTAGTCGCCGGGAGGTCATGGCTTAACATCTATCGGCGCATTCCCTTACGAACCTCTAGTTATCACTGCAAATTTTACAGGACTGGGATTGAATTTAAGATCAGCCGGGTAAGCTTCTAATTTCAATGAATTCGCGGCATTCCTCCTTATCCAAGAATAGGCAAAATAGTTAGGATGCGTTACTTTGAAGTATATCCTCTCCGCCGAATATTTTCTGATATCTCAACACAGGTTTCGATTAGTCTCAAGGTGAGTGTAATGGAGGGACTTCAAAGAAGCAATGAATTCGGGGAGTGCTCCTCTTAAATATTTATAAGTCTGCAAAGCCAGGTTGGAAGGCTCCTGATCGCGCTTTAAATGGGCAACTGCTTTCGGATTTAGGACTGTTGTTGGTATTAGAGGAGTTTCACATTTAGTGGGAGTAGGAGTCTTCCTTGCTACCATAAATTCGTAAATTACTTAGGTCTCGTTAATCGGAGAGAGAAGATGATGAGGGACTAATTGCTCTATTGTGTGTATGATTGAGTGATGAGTCATCAAATATATGTTTAGAACTGTTGCTTCCATTCAAGTTAGATGTAAGAGCCTAAGGCCATTAGGCTCGTTATACAACGCTCGCTGAGTAATTTGGATAGGCCTGTGCGTGCCATCTAATTTGGAGATTGGAGGGCAAGACTGAACATCTGTACGCGATTTCCTCTACGAACCTGAGAGTGAAATATTCTTCCAGAGCCAAGTTAAGTCAAATT